TTGCATTCTTTCTGAATTGCATCAAGAATCAAGGTAAACTTATCAATTCTTTGTGGGTTTAATCTTATTTTCTTTTACTCGTATTATTAAGTGTTCTTGCTTCTTTAAGCTTGGGTTGCCATTATGAGGGGGAGTTTATTCTAGAATCTTTGATCTCTTTCAAACACTTTGGTCATAAGAGTCATGGATATATTTCCATAGGTTCCGCAACGTTCAGTTTGGTATCAGAGCCAAAGATTAAGGTAAATTCTTTATTTATCTTAGTTCAGGTTTGTTTATTTGTTTTCTTATTTCATCTTTGTTCTTGTGTTTGTTTTCTTATTCATCTTGTTTCTTTTTATGTTTGCTTTCTTTTGTTTAGTTTCAAATCGTTTTTTCTTCAATTAAAATTTAGAATTTGTTCTTCTTGTTTCAATTCTGGAAGTTTAGATCTTAGATCTTTGTTAAAACTAAAAAAAAAAAAAAAAAAAGAGTATAGAAATTTTTCGTCGACCATTAAAATTACTTGAGTGGTTGGATTCTGTTTCCAAGTGATTTTATCCCAATTCATAGGGATTTGTACCTATTTTGAGGGATTTGACCCTATTTGGTGGGGTATTAGTTCCTAATTCTTGGGATTTGACCTTCATTTTGTGGGATTTGACCTATGTGTGGATGTTCCTAATCCTAAAGGGATTTGGGCCGGGCCATATTTTTATGGGATTTAGTATCCACTATATTTGTGATAAAAACCAATCTAATACTTTGGATAAGATAATAAGGATTAGTTTGACCATATCTTTTGAGATTAAGCAAATCTACTACAATCCTTCGTCAATCTAAGAATCCTACCTAAAGGTTGCATTGGAAGGGATTTAATTCAGCACGCCCGTGGCTTCACCTCAAAAGCCACACCCGTGCTTAAGTCATGACTTCACTATTGGATAGGCCTAAACGCACGCCGTGCTCCATCTGCACGCCCGTGCCCGGTTCTGACCCCTATTGAACAAAAATGTTTTCTTTTGATTTCTTTTGATTGCTTGCTTTGTTTTTGGATAGAAATTAATAGGTCCATATTTGGTTTGCTTTTGTAGGTAGCTTAAATTCAACATTATATTCCAATAATTGTCTTTTAATTTCTAGTTTTCTTTATTTTTTGTTTAAACTTTCTATGTTCTATACATTGTTAGTGTGTTTTGCCTTGTTTTACTACACTCTAATTTTTGATTAATTAACAGTAGTGCATTTTTATTTGTTCTTGTGCTACGCTATCTGACGCGGAATCCAATTGAAAATAAATTTCATGAACTCAATGACAAGTGTTTTGGCAATAGGATCAAAAATCGAAGAATTAAATTCCCCTCTATGGGCACCAAAGGCTTCGAAAGAAGCAGAAAGAAACACCAATAGATAGAGTAAAGAAAAGAATAAACGCCACACTAGAGTGAATTTGATGTGTGTGTGTGTTCTTGATGCAATTAGAAGAATTGCTCACTCTTCTCACCACTCTCTACAAACCGATTTGTGACCACATTGCCTAAGCACTAGAACGAAATAGTCTTTTAATTCATTATTGTATCGATTCTTGAAAATATACCTAATAACTAACAAAAGTTCTATCTAGTATACTAAATATTAAGAGGTCCAGATTCTTAGAGGTTTAGAGTTAGCTAAGGAGTAGGATTTAGCCAAATTCTAAACCAACTAAGGAGTTTGGGACTAAACCAAAATATAAACAACTTAAGGGATTTGGGATAATCTATTCCAAATCTACTTAAAAGATTGACTAAATCTAAACAAAATAAGGCTAATTAATCAAGGTTGGCCCGAACAATATTGGAGGCCCAACGCCATTAACAAAGCAAAAAAACACAAAATAAGCTAAACTAGCTTCCTTCGCTGAGCGCGAGTGCTTCACATACAGCGAGCGCGACCACACTCGCGAGCGCGATTCTACCGCTGCGCGAGCGCGAGAAAGCGCAAAGGAGAGGCAGTGAGTTAGGCAGGCGCAAATCGCGAGCGCATTTCCAACATGCCCGCGAGCGCGAGCGACACTCGCGTTGCCCAGTCAGCCGAGCGCGAGAAGCGCAAAGGAGAGGCAGTGAGTTAGAGGCAGCGCAAATCGCCGAGCGCGATTCCAACATGGCGCGAGCGCGAGCGCACTCGCGAACTAGAGCAGCGAACCTTCACTGCGTCCGAGCGCGACGAAGCCAAGGGAGAGGCATGTGAGTGTCTAGGCATGCCATAGGCTGGAAATTCAGGTTCCAACTCGCACATGTGGCTCCCATTTCAATGTGAGAAAAACTTAGGTTGTTCCCCATGCTTCCCGAGCTCTATGTTTTGATTGGTAGCCATTCCGTATCACTTATCCATCTCGTTTTGAGTCTTTCTTTCTTAGAATTATTGCTTGTTTTTCATTGTTAAGTTTTTCCTTTGATTGTAAACGGCCTTGAGTTGGTGGTTGAATTAAGATTCTAAGTCATATTTTAGAAGAATGCAAGGAGGTGATTTAAAAGAGTGTAAACAACAGTGAGGGAGTGGGAATTACCATAAACTCAAATCTTGTGTTGTTTTCTCTTTGATCTAAACCATGAGTCAGGCAAATCTGGAGAGGAAGTCCAAATTAACGATCCTTCAAATGGAAGTTTTCATCAGGAAGCAATCAAGGACAATTTAGAACCATTCAACAATCTTTCAAAGACGATGAAGGAGAATTGCAAGAGATAAGAGCTTCAACAAGAACTCTAATTACAACAAGAGCTAGTCCACAAAGCTAGATTTCAAGTCCATGATGATGAAGGATTACTGCATAGACCAATGTTTCAATAAGATTGATGGAGACTTGGGTGTCAATTAGATGGAGGATTCCAGAATTCCAAAGTAACAACAATGTTGAAAAGAATTCCTTGAATGGGGAGAGAAAAGTAGAACAAATCTTTGAGATTTGCCATAACTATTCTCAAAGAAAAGATATCCCATCTGCTGCTGTTGAATTGAAAGGTTATGCCTATGTTTTGGTGGGACAATTGTTATTTAAAAAAAGAAGGAGGGAAAAGGGATGCGACCCTGTACCACCATGGGAGATCATGAAGAATTATGCTCAAAAATTGTTCCCTACTTCACTACTTTATGGATTTACACAATAAATTAGCACAGAATGGTTGCAAGGAGGAAGGAGTGTGGAAGAATATATAGGGAGATGGAGATTTGCATGGCTTAGAGCCAAGATTGAAGAGGAGGCAAATCACCAATGTCACGATTCTTGGAGGTCTAAATAAAAGACATTGCTGATGCTTTAGAGAGTATAAGGTATTTGGATAGCCTTGGAGGAGATGGTAGTATGGCCTTGAAAGACAGGAAAAGGGAGACACCAAAAGTATCCGCAACACATGGGGATCTTATATGGCCTAAAGAAGGTGAGAAGAAGGGAATTTATGAGGTCTAATTCTCAAAGGACAGATTCAACTTCAAAAGTAAAGAAGCTGTCCAAACTTCCATTTTAAAAGCAAACAAAGGTACTTCTTGATACGATCCGCCATCACTCCATCCATAGAGACCAAGGGAACAGGGAGCATGGATACCTCAACTTCTTAACTAGATCGAGGGACGAATCTTTTTCGAGGAAAGGGGGATGATAGCGAAATGGCTACCACTTCAAACATACAAAAAGCTCAAGGAAGCATGGAGAAACATTCTAAGTTTCTCACATTGATGGGAAGCACCAATGTTGAGTTGGAACCTGAATTTTCCAACAGCAAAGACATGCCTAGCCATGCTTGGTTAGCAACGCCCGTTGCTTAGATTGGCACACCCCAAGGCCGTTTGGCCCTCGTCTGACTCTGTGGAGCGAAAACAACTTACTTTGAAGCACACCCCGGTACGTGCATCCTGGTCATCACGTAGCAGAGCAGTGTTAGCCTCGCCACATAATGAGTGCGCATCGCTTGTGCTTTTCTCGGTGTGTATCTTAAGGGTAGAGCTATGACTTGAGCTATGAGGCCTCTGGCGGTGTCGGCAATAGGCACATTGCGGTAGGAAGTCATCTAGCACTGTCTTCTGGCCGTGCTTCCCGTCTTTGCTTCGACGAGGACCTCTACATTGAAGCACGCCCGCTGCCAAATGCACACCCTGGCCGATTGCTTCCCTCTGGACTTCTCACGAGGAACCGTTACATTTGAAAGCCGCCCGTGCCAAATAGCACACCCAGGCCAGTGCTTGTTCCCTGCCTCTCATTTAGTTAGTTAGCTATTTTGGGTTTTTACTTTGTTAATGTGGGTTGGGGGCCTCCAATTATTTCGTCCACCCTGAATAATTAGCCTTATTTTGATTAGATTTAGTCAATCTTTAGTGGATTTGGATTAGATCTCCAAAGATCCCTTAAGTTGTTTTGATTTTTATTTAGTCTTATTCCTTTAGTTGGTTTAGATTTGCTTAAATCCTACTCCTTAGTGCTAACTCTAAATCCTTTAAAGGACTGGACCTTCTTAGATTAGTATAAATAGCTTGTATCTCTCTCTTTTT